AGAGAGAGAGAGAGAGAGAGAGAGGACCCAAGTGGTTCAAGACAGAGACTTGGATACAGGGAGACACATCACTGGAAAGCAAAGGAAATTACAAATAAGGAAGAGCAATGCTTACAGTGTTTCATCTGACATGCATAGATGACCCAATATAGCAAAAGGAGAACAAATAGCTCCCACAATGATATAGTCCATTTTCCTTTTTCAGGAAGTGATCCTTGAAAAAAATGGATTATATATTTGTTTCTTTTTCTTGTACAGGGATACCTCAGCTCATGAACGCCTTGGTTCATGAACAAATTGGGTCACGAAAAAAAAATTCTGAAAAGTTTTTACTTGGGTCGCAAACACCGCTTTGGGTGGTGACCAAGATTGCAGCCATCTCTCCCCCACCCCGAGTGGGGAGATGGCCACGATCGCAGTTCCATTCGTACAGGGAAGGCGTGCGTGATCAGAGGCGCACTCCTGCAGGAAAGACAGGCGGAATCTCAGCCATCTCCCCCCTCAACCAGCACGATCGCAGCCATCTCCCCACCCCACCCCTGAGTGGGGAGATGGCCACGATCGTGCTGAGGGCAGGGGGGAGATGGCCAAGATCGCAACCATCTCTCCCTCAGCCCGCCTTTTGCACCCGTCTCTTCCTCCCCCAGTTCACCTGCAATCACACCCATCTCTCCCCCCAACCACCCAGCGTGCCGGGATGATGGGCAGATGCTGGGGTGATGGGGGGGAGGGCGGGGAGATGGCCGCGCTTGTGCTTGGGGTGGGGGGGGGATGGCCGCGATCTTTGTCGTTGTCACTTTGCTTCACATTTTTCTGTTTTAAAAAATTGTTACAGAACGGATTAACCTTATTTACATAGAACCTTATGGGGAAATTTGACTTGGCTCATGACCAGTTTGGGTCACGACCAGAGTCCTGGAATGGATTAAGTTGTGAGCCAAGGTACCACTGTAGTTGTAACTTTGGATGCTCGTTTGCAATTGAGGTGTACTGTTGTATCACTCTGTAAAAGACTTCCGGGAGACTGAACGTACATGGTTCATCTCTGATCTGTTTGGCAAAGGTGAAAGGTGGCATTTGTGGTCCATGGATTCCAGATGATGGCCAAATATTCACTCATACCATGTCTACTGCAGGCAAAATGACACAAACAAACTGGACTGCCAAGGTAAAAAAAGTTTTAAACTTTATCCAACACTTGATTTCACTGTCCTTCAAATAACTGGGCAATTCATTCAATCATTTGTGTATGTGAGCCCTTTTCCTTAATTTCATTCATTCAAGGCACATTCATTTAATATCCTGATTCTTTATGAAACTGAGTCCCTTTGACTTCTGTTTACTTCTTGATTTTAGTGGAAATTTAGGAGGCTGAGCAGCTCTATGGACCATTATGTAGCTTACAGGTTTGATGCATCAAGAAGTTGAATTATGTCTAGGTAGCCTATCTTTAAGCCAGAGGTGTTGTTGGACTGCAACTCTGATCATGCACCACCATTGGCCCTGCCAGATGGAGCAGACTGAAGATGCAGTCAAACAGCATGTGGAGGGACCCTTGTTTGGCCCCCACAACTGTAAGTAACTATAAAGACAAGCAAGTGGATCCTTGAACAAATCAAGCCAGAACTTTCCTGGAATCAAACATGCTGAAAGCGAGGCTGTTGTACTCTGAGAATGATGCGAGAAGGTAAGACACATTGGAGAAGACAATAATCCTAGGGAAAGTTGACGGCAGAGACAGAAGAGGAAGACAAAATAGGAGATGGATTGACTCCATAAAGTCACAGCCTTGAATCCACAGGAGCAGAGCAGGGCTGTGAAGGATAGGACATTTTGTAGGATGCTGCTTCGTAGGATTGCCATAAGTCAGAGGCAACTTGATAACATGTGACAACAAGAAATCAACCCAGTAGGAGTATGGGCAACTTTTCGTACTCTAGATGTTTTGGTCTGCAACTCAAAATCAGCCTTAAATGATGAGGAATCATGGCAGCTGACAGCAAAAATATCTGGCGAAATACAAGTTGCCTATCTCTGGTCTGGTATTAACGTTATAGAAGGCCATGAAGAAAAAAAAAAGCCTTAGATTGTCCTGTATTAGATAAGGTGCCATTGAACAGAATGTGGGAAAAACTTCCTGCATTTCTGAACTGTTTGGTGCCCTTTCACAGTAATTGCAAAAGAAGGGGAGAAGCATTTTTTCTGCTGCTGAAATGCCAGCTTTCTTACTAAACTAGATCCAGTTTTATTCAATCATCACAACTGCTTCTTCACAGAAAGTTGGATCCAGATTTAGTGCTACTTAGAATAGATCCTTTGAAATCAATGGGTCAGTCACAATGTCTGATGTAAGTACAATTTCTTTCTAACTGACAATGTACAGGTAAGATAGTATGATGGTCCTTAGCTTAGAGGACTTGAAAAGGGACAAATGCAAGGACAACAGGTCTGCCTACCTCTGTGTGTGCATTGAAGTGGTCCCCATCTGTACCAAATGCAGGGAGGAAACCATCATTTTTATGACTTGTTTGTAATACACTAGGGTGATTTTGCATTAAATGTGTATTTGCTAATGTATATGTACAGAGGCAATTTTTAAAATAATTTAAATAGAAACACAATACATCTCATCCTGCTGTTACCAGATGGCCTGTGTTCCTTGCTCAAGAATAACTGTTAACAGGAAGCTTCAAGGTTTCTGCTGCTCCTCTTATGTTTCTTTATCTTTAAACTGGACTTGGACTGGACAGTCTGTCAAACAGAGATTGCCCTCAAAATAAAGGCCAGTCCTTTTACAGCCCCTCAGAGGAAGGACTGTCCTCTGTAAAAGACGTTACATGGCCACCCTAAGCATCTAGAGGAATTTGGAATTTCTAGATTAGATGGGTCTTGCTGATCCAATTGTTATATTTTTCATTTTGATTGTTGGCGATGTTACTATGCTTCACGTTGTTTTTTTGCTTTGTAGGTAGTTTTGGTACACGTAGGCATGACATCTCTCATTGCTCACATCAGGGTTGGGAAAATGCAAGCTGCTTTGGAAGCCCAAACTATGGTGCTCCCCGCAGTAGGTATGCTATGAAATTCTGCTTGAGCTTATAAACAGAGAGTTTAACAGAGCACGGGGGTGGGGGGGGGGTGTTACCCAGAAGGAAGGCCAGAGCTGGATACTCACTCATTGGAACAGACTGTCTCACTTTTCACACCCCTCACAATGCTTACCTGTCCTTGTTTGTGTTAGGAATGACAATTGTAGGAGAGGATTCATTGTGTCATATGGTTGATCTCTAAAGCTAGAACCATTGCCTTTAGGCAGTGCAAGTCATGTTAGATGTTGGGAGATATGAAACTGATGTTCTACACAATTTCTGTATGAAGGATAGGGACATAACCTTTATCTAAGGGGAAATGGACTCAGCTGAAAGAAAATGATTACAAACCTCTTCTTTTCTCTTCCATTTATTTATAAATGACTGACATAAAAAAGAACAATTGTTACCTTTTTATTCTACTAACTGGTCTTTTCAATGCTGAGAATTCGCACAAACCTCCTTTATCGCATTATGCATGGAGAGGATTGCCCAGTCAGCAATCACATGCCTGCAGGCTGCTTCATTTTGATTCCTGCTGGCCATGAAGAAATATACTGTACAACAACTGAAGCTTTCTGGCTTGGTCACAACAATTATCATCATAAAATACAGCATGACAAACTATAATGCAAAATTTTCAAATTGCATTATAAAAGAGCATTGCAATGATTTAAAATGCAGTAAGATGCAGGCCTATGGCCTCGGGACATTGTTTGCAGAACTAAGGATTATTTGGAATCCCAACTCTGAGGTCCTGTGATCTCTGAGCTGGGACCAAGTGCTCTCCTTGACTACCTCCCCCTGCACCCAGTGCAGAAAGAATGCCATCTGCTTCTCCGGGCATGCAACTGGGCCTTGGAGAGAGGGAAAGCAGACATTATAGGAAGCAGGGAGGGGAGGAACATAGGCCTGACAGCTTATTCCAGCCCCTTTCAGCACCCCAATCTTTCCATCCGCACAAATAACCATCTGGATAAAATGCACAGAGTGCAGCATGGCAGTGGCAGAGATTGCTTCTGCTGTTCCTCATTCTGTGTGTTGGATTCAGAGGCTTCTGTGCAAGCGGTGTAGTGGCCAAATAGATTTAAAGCCACAGAAATGAAAAGACCCGAATGCTTGGGAAGTTGAGGTCTTTCCTTGATACTGAAAGACCTTCTTCTGCATAGCCACCCACCTCAAAATATTTGCTAGTGGTTTCTAGAGAAGGCCTGTTGAAGATGATATAGCCATTGAGCTATGCGGCTGGGAAGACAACTGTCCCAAGCCATTGAGGGCTTTCAGTGCTAACTCCAGTGCTTTGAATAAGGCCTGGGAATGGACTACCAAGCAGTGCTGATGGAAAAGTACTGGCATAATATCATCATGCCACCCAGTCCCCATTAACGATCGTGCTGCCCTATTTTGGACCAACTGAAGTTTCCCGACCATTTTCAAAGACAGCCCTGCATGTAATGTTGCAGTAATGCCTTGCAGTAATGTTGATAGCTCTTCCTCTTTGTGCTTAGTCTGTGGGGATGACATTTGTGAAGATGAAGAGGGCTGCTCCACATGTCCAGCTGATTGTGGTGAATGTCCATTGACGACAGATGCCAGAATAGCGATTGCTTTACCAATATGTTTAGTCTGCACAGGTTTCATTCTGACTGTCATGGTAAGTGCCACATAGAATGCTTGCCACCATTCCACCCCCTTTCCTTCCCACCTTTCCTCATTCTTCCACATTGTCCAATTCCTGTTATTTAAACTTTGTTTCATAATACAGCACAGCACAAACAGCAGTAGTTCTCTGCTGGTCCCTTGGGTGTCCCAAAATGAAAAGCTGCTATAACTGGTTCTGCCTCACATTTGGGGATGCATTTTCAGAACAGCCAGTTGCCGCTTCAGCATGTCTCCCAGGAGATTATCTGACAGCTCCTTTTCCATTGGGTTCACAACACAGCCTTCCCTGCCTTCTAGAGTGGTAGAAGGTGATCTACGTAGACTTTTTTTCCAACTGGTGTATCATAACTGCAAAAATATGAAGATCAACCTTTTCGGAATTTGAAAACAACAAAAACAAAACCCCAACAACAAAAACAGAAGAAAACGCAACTCACAGAGTTACACTTCAGTTCACACAACCATTTTTTCACAACAGAGTTGATGCTATTGTAAAGTACTTCAAGTTGTTCTTTGTGGTGGGAGGCCCTGTTATCTGAGCATAATCAACCTGAACTATAATAACAACCAGGTAAAAAGTCCCATGGCAGTTTGTGAGCAAGGTGGGTTGTATGTTTGGGTGTGTGTCTATGTGTGTGTGTGTGGGGGGGGGGCATTGGGGAGGCTTTAACTTTTCCCTACTCCATTATTATATTCTTTCTTCTACCCTTTCACTTTCTGCAGTGTGTACTCCCTCATCCTTTGCATCTCCTCTCTTCAACTCCTCTACCCCACTCCATTTCTGGCACATTATGTTTATTGTGGCCAAAGCAGTGTGCTTTTTTAAGTGTAAAACTGTGTGCCAACTGTTAAAGTGTACACTGAGTGACACATACTTGCAGTTCTTTGGGGGAAAGGTGGGTGGAATTAAAAGCTTCCTCCCTCTTGACTTTCTTTCCACAATAGGTGACTTGTACTGTGACTAGGTTGTTGCAGATGTATACCTGCAAAAGGATAAATGTTCATGCCATATTTCCTCAGGCAAACATGTTTCCCTGCACTGAGAATATAGAAACCATATTGGAAATTGTGATACAGTCCTGAGAATTAGAGCATTTATAAAATACACATAGCTTGGATATTGAAACATTGAATGAATTTACCATCCATCTGATTCACGTTGTAATATTGCTGAGGTCAATGGAGCAATCCCTGTGAACCTGGCCTGTTGTTTTCTTAGTGGTTCCAGTATCAAAAGCAAAAACTGTTTTGGGATGAAAGCTGGATTATAGACTTCAGGTGCATCAAACAAGGTATGTAAATTTGAACCTGCTGTCTTTATTTCACAAACTAGGGACAAGCATCTGCTGGCTCATAAACCAAATTTGTGTCAGGTCTTCCTCTCTAGTTCCCAGCATTGTGCCTTATCCCAGAGGATCTTTTCCTAATTATTATGCTTGGTTTCCCTCAAAATGAGACATAAACAAAAACAAAAGGACCTTTAATCCCCATTCAAATCATGAACAAAAGCAGAAGTTTTGACAGAGTTTTCTTCCTTCATAAATCACTCCCATTTATGAACCAAGGTATAGGTTAATGGGAAGGTAAAGTGCACCATTACAGAAAAGCTCTATCAGATCCTCTGTTTTAGCTCATACTGATAAAGGAGGAGTGGGTTAGTGGGTAGAACCAAAGTCCTTCAGCCTGTGCTTATTAAAGGTAATATCCAGCAGTGTCCCAACACTACCACTAATTAGGTTGTGTTAGTATAAACCAATGCTTGTTCATAGTGCATGCTAGTGCAGCAGGGACAAATGGCAACTTGTTGAGGAAATCCATCTGCACAGCAGCAAAACCCACCTCTTTTTGCCTCCACGCTGCCTAATTTCAGCCACATATTCCTACTTTTCCTTGCTCTAACAGGGGCAAGTTATAGTCTGCAAGCATTGGTTTGCACTAGTGCAATGTTGTTGGCACTTGCACCAGGATGCTTGACTATTACTCTTATACCCCTATTATTTTTAATTGCTACTCAGTGCCTTCTATCTCTTTACAGCTATGCTGGTTTCTTTATGTAGCATGAATAGCTTATCATTAATCTCACTGATCTCATGGGGACAATGTACGGCATGTAAAATGTGACCATATTGTGCATGGTTGTTTCAAATGAACTCGTAAGAACTTATGTGCCTTGGAGTGCTTTGTTGGAACAGTCACCACCTGATCCTGTACCTTTCCAGAATAGGGAATTTCAGCAGGTGCTCTAGCCCAAAACCAGATGCAGGATAAGCGGCTGCCATCTGGAAAGTGTTCTGGATTCAGCATTATGACTGCTATCCTGCCTTTTTAAGGTGACAGAGAAAATATGTCACCTTTAAACATAATATATCATTTTCGGTGTGAACATCTCATGCAAGCTTTTATTATGTTATCATTATATACTGCCACCACTTGTGGTCTTGGCGCTGATTTCATTACTTTTTATTATTGCAGTGGGCAGATGTGTTGCTTTTCTGATGCAGCATGATATGATCCATTGCTGCCCTCATTGGGCTGACAAATGTGTTCTTCCAAAAGTTAATAAGATCAGACAAAAATATTTAGGTGCTGCAGTCAGGTTGTATTTAGTGAAAAAAAGAGTGGCCCAAATTGATAGGCATAGATTAAGCATTCAAAGGATAAGCAAACAAAAGAGATTATAGCTTCATTAATTAAAATATATGGAAAGATAAAAATAAATATGCAGATCTGATAAGAAAAAAACATTGGCAGAGCACTGCAAGTGCGTGGGGAGCGATGAAACAGAAAAGAAATTAGGAAGATAAGTTCTGTTTCTTAAAAATGTATGCAAAGCTAATGCATTCATAAATGGGAATAAATTATACAAGTATTTCATCTTCATATATATATAATGTTTCCTTTTATTGAATCAGGAAAGAAAAAGAGTTTATGGAAGGATAACCTAAATGCATATGATGAAATAAACACTGATATAATGTATTGTACATCTTAAGTCTATTAAAAAAATAACATCCAAATAATTCAGAATTGCCCAGACAAGTTGCAAAACAGCTTTGCAATTGCAGAAGTTATTTCCACACTTCTCTATGGTGGATCCGACCATCGGCCAACTATTATCTGCTGCAAGCAGAGAGCAGAACATACAAGCCAAACTTACAATTTTGGGGATCATAAGAATTTGTGAGTACACTTGCCTGTGTGTTTGCAAGCAGACCTCATCTAATTTCCTATTCTATTCCTAATAAATAAATGAATTAGAACGCATGACAAGAGCTGCAAGGGTGAGCGCCTTGAGTGTACCACACGCACCCAGTGTGTCCAACACCAGCTGTCTCACCGCACTGAGCTCCTGCACCGCAGCTGCTAATGCTTCCAAGCCAAACTACTTCACACAGACTGGGATCTAGTACGTATATTTTGCAGTCATTTCATGCTTTTCTCTTCCTGCAGCCCTGGGTCCAAATCAGTGAAGGATGGTAGTTCTGGTGTTAGCAGGGCTACTTATCCACTCTGGAATTTACTCTGAGCTCCTCCTTTGTGCCAATAGAGAAAACTGCCATTTGTGCCAATGTGACATTTCCTTCCACATGAAGTGAAAAGACATTTAGGGTCACATGGCTCCCATCCAAAACACCCACAGGGTGACCAATGGATGGTTACTATATCACAGCCTAAGCTACTTATGGAGTTTCTGAGCTCAGTGAAAAAAAGATGGGTTATAAACATAAAAATGAGCAAATGAACTAACACTGCACTCAGCTTGTTGGTCTGTTAAACATCTTTTTCTTCTTCCAGTGATGGTAGAACAGTTGCCATTAAGAAAATAATGAACAAGACATTTACTCTCACCAAAACAATACGTAAAGAGGTCAAGCAAGTGAGGTAAGTGATAAAAATAGCTTCTGGATTTATTTCCGTACACATGTCCAAAAGTTAATCTAGAATGTGCAATGTTTTAAGCTTAATTGTCCTTTTGTTTCAAAAAGGGAACTGACCAATAGGATTCATTTAGGGTGCAGTTCTGTGGCTGCTAGATGCTATCTAGATATCTGTAGGAGAATTTGGAGCCCCAGACTCTGACCTTGGAAAAGTGCTCTGAGTCAGGACCAGGGACTCTGAATTTGGGGCACCCTCCCTCAGGTCTAGCTGTTAGCATGGTTATTTCCATACCTGCTGCAGCTCCAAAGTCACAAGTGTAACTTTGGATCTAGCATGGGGGCAGAGGAATTCTGCTAGAGGAGGGGAAGAGAGGATTGAAGCTTTGCCAGGAGGCACTGTATTCTGGCAGTGCCTCAGCCCTTCTTCCTCATGAGCAGAGACGGCTGAAACTAGCCACCCGTGTCTTTTGCAGAGTGAAGTGTGGAGGCTGTTCTTGTCTCTGTCCCTGTCCTGCCCTCAACTGGATGCATAATCCTCCAGGTTCATAGGGTTCCAGGCATCCATATTGCAATTGATCATACTGTTGGTATGCTTACCTTCTGTCACAATCTGTATTTACTTCCTCCTCGTGCTAACGGCAGCTGCTCTTGTCTCAAAACCGCTCATTGTTTCAAAAATTAGCAGACTTTGAACTGACTCATTAAAACCTGTATACATAAACATGAGGACTTGAAGCAAATACTGGGATTTTCAAGAACTAACAATTATTTAATGCATGAAGCAGAAACCCAGATTCAATTATTTCTGGGAGCCATGCAGTAAAATTGGAGTCACTGCTAAAAATAATAATAACAATAATAACGACAACCCTAAGGCTTCACTGGCAGTAGAACTTTCCTCATTCATTCTTGGCACAACTCATTATCTTCCAAAGCTGTTCCTCCCATTGATCAGTCTGTTGCTCACAGCTGATCTGTTGGTTCTTCTAAGGAGGAAATACATAATCTGCTGCCTTCTGTATATGGTAGACTACATGTTGCATTGTCCTCAGCCAAAATGGCCATGTCGTCTAGCACTTCTGGAAGACATTGATTAGTTAGGGCTGCATTGGATGACAAGGCTTGTGCAACTTGGACCCTTGGATCCAAGAAAGAATTTATAGAGTCTTCCCCCATCCCCATTACAGCAGTGAATGCTCAGTGGTAGCTGAATTGTTCTGGTATCAGATCTCATTGTCTAACCACAAGGAAATAAAATGCCTGTGCTGCAAGGAAAATGCAACATAGTTTTTCCTAGGAAAAGTTAATACTATTTGTGCAGTCTGACTGTATGTCTAGAGAAGGCTGCTAAGATCCTATTCTCCTTTTTTCCCCACCCCCAGAGAATTAGACCATCCCAACCTCTGCAAATTCATTGGAGGCTGTATTGAAGTGCCAAATATTGCCATAATAACTGAATACTGCCCTAAGGGAAGTCTGAATGATGTGCTGCTCAATGAAGACATCCCTTTAAACTGGGGCTTCAGGTAAGAGAAGGGTGACACAGGTGGAAGTTAATATGGGGCTTTTCCTTATGGCTACCGAAAGCTAAGAGGTTCACCAGAAAGAGCCCTGGGTTCAGATCTGACTAGTTGTTACAGTAAGTGCGCCTTTGCCATTGAAAAGGGCAGACTCAGTTTCACTTCCTGCTCCATTTGCTGTAAAAGTTAGAGAAACAATTTTGCATGAATTACAGCTGCAAATACATGTGTGATGGTGTTGAAAAAGTATGAGGTAATACTCTCACATCATGCATTTGCTTGTTACAGGAAAAGGAAGATGAGTGTGGCATCTAGCTGTCATTTTCAGTGGCAAATGTGTAGTTATCATAATCACAATCTTTAAGGTCTAAAACTATTTGGAATCAGATATTTGAAGGATTAAGTGTACCCATACAAAACTCTGAAGTGTTGTCAAGAACACAATAGCAGGCACCAGTGACAGGGCCTTTTTGATGGTGGCTCCACATCTTTGGAAAACTTCCTGCAAGGAAACATGCATGATCTATTTGTTAAGGTGATCTCCAAACATCTTGGCTTTTTATTAAATCCATTTAATGGAGGTTGTGCTGGTCTTTTACCTACTACTGTTCATCATTGTTTCAATTTTAGTTTATTTTTAGTTTATTGTTTTTAATAAATTGTAGTGATGATTTGTTCTGATTAAGTGCCCTCAAAGACAGAGTACAATGAATAAATACTCTGAGCCTCAGTTATCTAGTAAATATTTAGTCTTAAAACTCAAGAAGAGCAACTCAGGAAAGAACTGCATTTAACAGGCAAGAAAAGCAGTAGTCCAAAAAACAAACAAAAGGGATTTTAAAATTGATGTATGAATTTCTACTTTTCATCCTTTTTTATAGAGTAAAAGTGTACTCTGGATTATGCGTAAAAAATCCAATAGTGTCAATAAATAAAAACCAATAGGTGGTTATACTGGTAGGATTTAGGTTACATCATAAGTAATATAAATATAAAGGAAAAATGTATGGCAAAATAATAGTTAAAAGCAAAATGAAACCCTTATTGACTTTCGAACAGATGAGAAGTTCTACATCATCATTTCACCAGATGGCATTTTTGATAGAATGTGGGATTTTAATTACAGTGAAACATCATTAGGTAAATAAGCTGGTACTGTGATGGTAGTTCTGAAATTTATTGTTCGGGGTGGGTGAGGAGATCAACCTACTTTGTCATCCAATACTGATCAGATTTCTGATGGTTAGATGGTGTTGTGAGTATATGTTCTTTTAATGAATGTTGCACATTGCTTCATAATCTATAGCCCCAACTGGATGTTGTGGGGGAATGTGTCTGTTCTTTCTCCAGTGGTAATGTCTTGCCTGCAAATTTTCCAGGGGAAAAGTGGGTTGTGGCAACCACACACCCTCTATAGCGGTTAATTTGGGGCTTAGAGGGTTTCTTTATAAAGCATGATAGCAATGATCCCCAGTCCTCTAATGGGATGCAAGTAAGTTAATGTAACTGGTAATACTGCATTCTCAAAATAATTTAAACTAGGTGGGCTTCACTGTAGTGCCCAAATACAGTCATGACCATGTTCATTTACACAAGTGCCAGTGGTAGTTTCTTTAGTGTCCTTGGGCAAGTCATCCTCAGTAGGTCCACTCTCTCAGAGAACCTCCCTTCTCACCACCAACGTCTCCAGATACACTTGCTCGTCATCCTCTTTCTCATCATTGCTCCCATTTGGTTGCTTGACCTGCAGAGAGCCAGGGAACCAGGAGGCCATGGCATCTGCTGCTCCTCTCTCTCACTACTGCTTTCTGTGAGCAAGAATTAGAAATAGGTGAAGAGGCAAATTGCAATGATGAGGGGGAGAAGCACATCCCAGGGGCGCTTCTCAGTGAGCTCCTGCTGGGGTGTGAGCCACGCACCATGCTTATCCTTGGACCTGGCCTTGATCTGCACTGCCAGCCTGGAAAGGAACCCAAAGACCTTAGGGAACAGCAGTGACTGGCAGAATCCAATTCAGCATGAATCGTCTTGAGGGTGGGAGCCTTTTGCTGGTGAACAATGATGTTCTCTGGCACAGTCGGGCTACTAAATGCTGCCAAAAGGGGAAGGCACCTTTAGTGGAAGAAAAGAATACGGAATGTTGGCTCAACACTATCACTTGAGAAAGAAGTGTTACAAGGCATAAGTCAGACATGAGTGAAAACATTGCCAGTTTGTTCTGTTATGCTTTTTAAAGCTTTATTCTAGCCCTGGGGACCAGCATGATATGATAGCATTGGCCATTAATCTGTCCCCCCAGGCTTTCTTTCGCCACGGACATTGCCCATGGAATGGCCTATCTTCACCAACATAGGATTTATCATGGACGGTTGAAGTCCAGCAACTGTGTCATTGATGACCGCTGGGTTTGCAAAATTTCTGGTAAGGCAGAAAGAAGGTGAAGCAGCTTGCTCCAATCCCATGGAAGCAACAAGACTTCCCTCTCCTATGGGATTATATTGCCATTGTATGCATGGTGATCATTCCATCACATCTCCCCTGCTGCAAATATCAGGTGGCATAACTAAAATCTGGTATGAACAATGATCACTTGTCCATATTCCTTCAGGGTGATGACAGAGAGAGGTTTTTTCAATGCATAGAATGCTTATTGACTAATACAGGAAGTTGTTACTCATTGCTCACAGTTGTTTTGTGAACACTGCCTATAAAGCAATTTACGAATTGTGTGTCAGATGAAACTCAAGGTAAACTAGAGGAATGGACTAGTATAATCTCTGTTTGTAGAGAATATTTAGCATTTGTTTCACTCTTTGCAAGTAGCTGAGGAAAGAAGGGAGGCAAGGGAGAAAGAGAAAGATACACCCAATTGAATACAGAATTCCAGAGAATAGCTAGACAAGATAAGAATGCCTTCTTAAATGAACAGTGCAAAGAAATAGAAGAAAACAATAGAATAGGGAGGACCAGAGATCTCTTCAAGAAAATTGGAGATATGAAGGGAACGTTTCATGCAAAGATGGGCATGATAAAGGACCAAAATGGCAGGGACCTAACAGAGGCAGAAGAGATTAAGAAGAGGTGGCAAGATTACACAGAAGAACTATACAAGAAAGAGCGTAACGTCCCTGATAACCATGATGGGGTGGTCACTGACCTCAAGCCAGGGTCAGTGACACATCCACTTCCACATCCTGGAATGTGAAGTCAAATGGGCCTTAGGAAGTCTGAGCAACAACAAAGCTAGTGGAGGTGACAGCATTCCAGCTGAGCTATTCAAAATCTTAAAAGACGATGCAGTAAAAGTGCTACACTCAATATGCCAGCAAATTTGGAAAACTCAGCAGTGGCCACAGGATTAGAAAAGGTCAGTTTACATTCCGATCCCAAA